AACTTTGACAATGGATTTAGTTTAGTATAACACTTATCACTGAGCTTGAATTGTCAAACCTCTAAATTAATCCAATAATAAATCATAAATACAAAGAAATTCATGTAGAGAAGTAGATTTGCAAATTCTCTCTTTCATTTCTAGCCTATTCAGAGAAAATAAAATAGAATCTAGATAATTCTTATATTACCTGGCTTTCAAGCTTCAACTGATCTGTTACAAGAACTTGACAGAATATCATTTTCAGCTTAAAAGCCATCACTACTCTATGATTTATCCCTTTTAAGAGGAAATTGCCTGTTGGTAGGTGACGAAAGATAAGTCCTTAATATTGGATGAATTCAAAAGATAAAAAGATACATTAAAACCTTTTATGCCACAACTTTATGTTATCTCCTAAGGGACTCAGATCATGTGAGAATTTAATTTTTCTTTATTTTGCGCATTAACAAAGGGCAATCCAATAGAGTTGACTTCGCCAATACGCACACATTGGACTTCAAAGTTGACCATCAGGTGACCTCTTTTTTTAAATGTGACATTACATGACCTTGACATCATGACCTTGACATTTAAATCATCTGACTGCAACATTCCACTCATCATAATAAAGACATTTTTTGTTTTTATTATATGCCAAGCCAGCCGTTACCACAAACTAAAATCTTCTGAATTTATTAATTCCATGATATACTGACCTTAATAGTTATTAAAAAGACATTTATGAATGTTTATTGACTGGTGTTGAAACATCAACGTTGAAATATATTTATTTGATTGTAACATTTGTTTTCCCTTCAACAATAGGGCATAGACTCTTGTAAACATGTCATGGCAGTCATTTTTCAAATCATATGCTGGATTAGGATCTAGGAAGCTTCCAAGACTCTGCAACAGATAACCATTCAGCGGCATTAAAGAAAATATCATCAAATATAAACAGCTCTTCATTTCATCATAATCACATTTTCAGTAAATTTCTGACTGGTTCTTACTCCAAACATTTTCATACTGTTCTTGACAGGATTTTCTCTCCAAGTAAATGCATAATTACCCAAATGCGAGTAGGTAGTTACCAGTTTCACCACCAGGTGGCTGATTCGGGTCAATTAACATGGCAGGTATATAAGAAAGTTCCCTTAAACTTGAATATTATCAATTTAAGTGGCTCAATTTTCATATAACCCTTATGTGTCTGATACTTATACTAATGAAAATATGTCCAGTAAAGCAAAATAGTATCTGTCCACTCAAAGAAAAGATATTTCATTTTTTGTGATTTTATAGCATGGGGTCTATGGGGAATCTCCCCGAGCTAGAAGTCACATTTTCAAAGAAAATTAATTTTTCAAAGTTGATAAACACTTTTTAAAACCACATTTCTAGATGTAATTTTACATGTAGATTTCAAATATGATATTACTTTGACTGAATTTTGAATTTTTAATGACGCAAATCAAGATTATTTCTACTCGCATCTGGGTTATTCTCATTTTCATAATTCTGACTAAAGTTTCAAATGGATGCAAACATTTTCTAAAAGTGGATGCAGCACCTACATGTACTTGTTCCAATGCTAGGGGATTTTACTGCTTTACAGGGCCTTTACATACTCTTTGCATTCGTTTGACTTCACTTCTTAAAAGAGAGCTTCGTCTTCGTAGTTCAACTAGACTCTGCATGCAGGGTAGCCTTTACAATATGTAGTTCTTAAAATTAATGCATGTAACTAAATTTGTTTTGAAAGTTTTATTGAGCCTGCACCTCTGATAAGAATTTACACCACCTGATCAAAATAACATAATGAACCAGTTGGGATGTTATTTTTCTAACCAAATGAAAAAACATATCAACACATAATTTGAATACTTCAATGTTAACCTGATGGTAGAGCAGGCCTTAATGTGAATCATGCTTATAACCTTATGTTTTGGGAGGTCTTTACTTCAGCAACCAGGTTGCTACAAATCATTTGTTTAGCAGTGCCTTTTGGTTTTTATTTAATCCTTGCAATTTAATAAATCTTTTTTCATTTTAACATCTTTTTGCATTCGGAGAATAAAATATGTCAAAAATGGAAATATTTCTTATTAAACAGGCATTTAACACATAGAGGCCTAACTCATGATTCACACAATCTTACATAAAAAATTGTGAAATCAATCATTTATAAATAAGAGTGGGAGGTCTGGATGCACAATAAAGCAAAACAATATTGACAATACTTCATAACTGAATGTGCATGGATGCCAGATAACAACTAAGAATAATATGCTAAGTGATCTGGAGAGAATCCATAGAAAAACAAGGTGAGAAATTAACTTGATGCAGTAGGTTTACCTATACAAACTTTTCAGTTTCAGCAGTTTGTATCTGTTATAAGAGAAATTAGCTTGGTGAAATCAAATGACCTTCTTTTTATGTGAATGGTTACCCTTTTTGTGTTTTCTCTACTCATTGTGTCAATGTTTAATCTGGACCATATGTCAATTTGGTCTTGCTACCATGTGTAAATGGTCTACCTACACCATATGTCAGCAGTCCCCCTACCTTGTTTCATAGGTCTCCCAACCATGTGTCAACTGTCCACATATACCATGAGTCAAAGGTCCCCTTCCATGAATCAACGCTACCGAGTAAATTTTTATTCATCATTGGTCATTATTATTGGAATAGACAAAATGAACTATCGAAAATATGGTTTATTAGGCTGAGCCTTGCTAGCTTACACGATGTGCCAGTGGTTGAATATTCATAAAAGGAGTTAATCAATTTCCTATCTATTAAGCTCTGTATTTGGGTAATTCTATGATTCCTGTATGTCTGTAATTGCCATATTCAAAATTGCCAAGATTCTCAGAACTTTTTGACCTGTTCCTTTCCTCATCAAAGTAATTTCCCAAGCCTATGGTTTTCGTATTCTAACATGTAATAACACTTTAGTAATACATTCATAACAGGCCTTATAAGTACTGTAAAAAGCAAATTAATATGTAATTAATCTAACTATGATGATAGATTAATAGAAATCTGTGTGAATGTTTCTACTGGTTTGATCATTAAAGATGATACATTTACTGAACTTCACAGAAACAGTCAAAAGATAGAGATATTAAAATATAGGGTTATTCATATAGAAAATAATCAAATTCATTTCCCCTGAATACAAACATTATAAGCTTGAGCAATGACTGAAGATTCAATGAAAAAAGCACATCTGGCAACTTTTGAAAAACCTAGATTGTAATTAAGAATTATCTCTTATTTAAGAGTGCAGAGAGAAACAGCTCTTATAAAGGGTCACTGTGCAGATAGTGGTGTCAGTATTTGAGATCGACTGAATTTTTGTTGTAAAAAAACATTTATAAATACACAGACCTGAAGTTTAAGCAATAAGAATATATTAGTTCCACTTCATTCACTGTATTCAGACAAGAATGCATTAAAATGGGAATATAAAGTATGAACTTGAGCAAATGTATGTACTGAGATCTGGATAAAGCTACTTGCATATAAATGTGTTATATGGATGTCTATTCTAAAATAGGTAACCTTTTCAACTAGAAACCCCTTCAAAATGACAAATTTCTTCGAAATTTTGAAAACTAAAACGAGGCTGAGACGTGACCTTCCAATTTCGATTCGTAAAAAATGAAAAAATCTGAAGTTAAACAGTTTTGACAAAGATACTGCTATAAGTAAGGAAATCAAGCTCAATTATTGAGTAATATATAAGTTTAAATTGCATTTGATTCGATCATCTGTGAAAGAACTGAACTGAAGTCCGACTCGAGTCAAAATTTGAGTTGAAAACGGCAAAAATCAATTTTCAAGCGAATGATTATTCGAGTTGCCGATTTATCGTACCACCACAACTCTGAACTACATGTAGAGGCTAAAGTTTTCTTGAAATCTCCATCATGGAGTATCCTCTTTGACATACTGAGTAAAACTGCATGGTGACCATATACCATTATACAAGTCTTCTCACACCCCGAGTACCCCACAAAGTAGAAAAATTATGATGCATCATCCCTTTGGCACAGCTTAGACATTCACAAGAACTAATAATGATATGGCTATCATGAAGACAATTTTAGCAGTGAATCAATTATAATGTACATTCAAAAATCACAGCAATTTCTCATATATAGGCTTTGTATAATGTAACGACCCTGGATCGCAAGTTGCTACTACAGCTCAGCTGTGGTAGTCCTTCTGGCTCAGTGGTAGAGCATGAGCCTTTGAATCAAAAATCCTGGGTTTGCTTCCAGGAGGGAACACTGAATTTAACACACTCTCTTTCATAACAGTCTGAATCTCGCTTGTTGTATTATAGCTTCCCTGAATGTACTGTCAGGTTGTTACATGTACATGGGTGTCAGATGTAGGATTTGCTTTTGGGTATATCCTGGGTGAGTCACGACAGGTCGTCGTCCTTCATTGGGGGGATGGTAACGACCCTGGATAGAAAGTTGCTACTACAGCTAACAGTGGTAGCTATCCCTTATGGCTTAGCGGTAGCTCATCAGGCCTCGGACCGGAAGGTGCTAGTTTAATTCCTGGGAGGCCTGAATTTAGCACATTTCCTTTTAATATATCTAGCTTGCCTAGCTTGTTACGTTACAGCTTCCCTGAGGTTACCATATTCTATGGCCACTGAGCATTCTTGAGTCGTTACAATGAATATTATAGAAGGATTACAGGGGGAGATTTATACTAATTCAATCAGTGAGTCACTATCAACCTGGCTCTTCATGAATAGAAAATAGGAAAAATAGGAATAGTTGAGTCTTCCTACTCATAGAACAACACAAATTAGAGATCAATACCAGACTATGTGAATGAATCATTATAAACTCAAAGCACACAATGTATTCAAAATATTCATCAGAAATACATAGGATACATACACATGAATGCTACGATGCTAAAAACATAAGTTCAAAACTTCAAAACATCGAAAAATTGAAAAATAAAAAAAATTAGAAAAAACTCACCTGAATCTTTTAGAATATCAATTGTGATCAAAATCAAGGTAAACCGTGTAATCTGATACATTCTTCTAGTCCTCTATTGTATTTCCTAATGTTTGGTGATGTCTAAATCCATTTTCGGTTTTAAATAGCTTGATTAGACCACTTTTCGTCGAAATATTTACTTTTGCTTCCTTGTTCAATTTTTCAAAGTTGAAATCAGGTCTGCTGCGGTCGGTGGATTAATAAATATTAATCATTGACGACAAACACCTGCTAGTTGGACGCCGTGTCGCTACAGCGAGAACACTCGTCAATATCACTGCGCCGTAGAGCAAAGATCTTCAAATTAATCACTAAGGAACAGAGGTTAACAGAGAATGCAGTGGGTCCTCGTTTTACAAACTATAACTGAGTTCTGATGATAGCATTGGCTCAAGTACCCTTTGCATTCGTGCGTCTTCACTTCTCAAAAGACAAGAGCTTCCTCTTTATAACAAGAGACTGCGCCGGCTCTGCGCGGAGGGCGGGGCGGGCCGTATCTGAGATATGTCAACCAATGTTTCATAATTGTCTTAACAGCCGTGTTAACGATTTATTAGGGTGCGTAATTGTGATCAGTAGTAATTCACGTAGGTTGTATGCCCGGGGTTGCAGGGGCGAATCTGGGCACCAACAAGGGGGAGGGGGGGGGGGGCCAAATTTTAGGTCAGAAAAAAAGTGGGCCCAAATTGTAAAATGTTGAGGACCATTTTCTTCAAAATGTGGCCTGAAATTAAAAAATAAGGCTTTAAAAGGCCCTGTAATGACCGAAAATGCCCACTTTTTGCTGTTTTTACTCAAAAGAATTTTGGGCCCAATTTTTTTCTGGGCCCACCCAAGGGGTGGGGGCGGGCCCCCAGGCCCTATTTGATTTAGGCATACCCTTCCCAAAATGATAGGCGAAAAATATTTTTCGGGGATAGTAAGGTGTGCAAACCTATAGGTTTCATAGATAGTGCGATCGCACCCCGCCCCCCCCCCATAACCAATAAAAATGAAACCGGGAGAAAGAAGAGGAACGAGTTTTACGAAAATGCTTTTTATTTGAAGCTTCTGGCTCAATTTTGAAGGAAGTTGCATCAATTTTTGTAAATTCAAAATAAATCTTATTTTTGGCTTGTTTATGTCACAATCGCACCCCCTGACTGAAAACCGAGATTTTTTGGCGACCTGACTGAAAGCTGGCTACGCCCCTGGGTCTAGTCCGTATTTTGCTACTTATGTAAGTTCCGATTTTTTAAAAGGAAACGTACTTTCTTTGTTCACTGAAGAATAAATGGATGTATATATTTTTAACTTTTTTTTAACTTAGAGAAAGTGCGAAGAAAGCGTCTCTCCGTCTGCCTGCATTGTGTAGATTGTCGTGCATTAGATCATGGTCTTTCAACAGAGAGATCGCCAATGATTACTAGATTTAAAGGATTAAAAATATTGTAGGGCTTACCATTCTGATACTCATCAGACTCATAGCATCTTTCTGTTTCACCTCTCAGGCCTGAGAAGAAATGAGATGTCATGGTTTACTATGATGATGGTGTACAGTACTAGTAAAAGAGTATTCATTTTGCAAGATATTTGATTTGAACTGTCATCATCACGAACATATAGCCCCAGTAAAACAATTTCAAGGACTGAAAAACGATTAGTTTACGCTGCGCTGGGCGTAACTAAATTTCAGTTTTGGAATGGATCAATTCTCTGGAGAATATAATTATTGACATTGAAAAGCTTGCTTTTTATACTAGTTTTCACTAAGCTGCATCGTGTGCATATACTCACGCCCGTTGATCGAAAAATGAACAGAAGGGGTAACCGATTTCAGCTAAAAATCTCGAAATTGTCTTCCTTGGAGAGAAGTTTATACAGGCGCAGCATCATCAACGTGCAAATAGTCAATGTTTTTCCAAGCAACAATGGTCTAGCTACCACAAAAGTAAAAGTGGCGTTGTTTTCATTAAGCTTAATGTCACTGTTGTCATTTAAAGATAAGTCTCCATACGCCGGAGTACACCCCTTCACAGCATGTGAATAAAAAGTTAAGGATGCTGAGATCATGCCGGCATGAGATTGAGCTCAAATAATGTAATATATACTATACTTTTCCCTTTGAAACGAATACCAGACCGAGTCATGAAAACAAATCACGACTATCCCAAACAATGATCTAACATAAAAAGAAACATTGATATTCAGGCCCGACGCCAGGAGGGGGGGGGGGGGGGCTCCCCCAGCAAATCCTGTGGCTACGGGCCCTATGGCGGATCAGTTTTAGGGGCCCAAAATTTTTTTCCACGCAAGCGCGGATGGTTTTTCTCTGACCTCAAATTTGGGCCCCCCCCCGTTGCTGGTTCCTGGATCCGCCACTGGGGCCTGCTATTAATCAGAGGCATATGAAGGATAAATTCAAAGCTGTCCTGAAAAGAAAACACCCCCACTATCTGTGTAACAATGATAAAATGCAGACTCCAATCGAAGAAATGTAGATATTTTCTTTTCAGGAATTGTACTATCAGTACCATGCCTGCGCTATTGATTGTTGGTCTTTTGACAAAAACGGGGTATGGCACTGGCGGATCCAGATGTTAACAAGGGGGTCCAAATTTTGAGTTATCCAAAATTTAAGGCCCATTTTTGGTAGGCCTAAGCTACTTCAAGCCCAAATTTTCAACCCCAACATTTCTTGGACCCTAAATTTTTTCTGGGCCCACAAAAAAGTGGGGTGAGGGGGCGTCCGCTACTAGTGTATGGAAGATTTTTTAGTCAGTGTAACTTATGCATGGGCTCTACCACCTGATAGAGCCCATGGTGTATGGGTAGGCCCGTGGAAGAGGTTATGTTTGATTCCTTGCACAGATATTGGCCAGATCGTTTTGTAGTAGGATCTCATAGGCTCAAAGAATAATACAGGAATATTTATTGAGCTACTGATCCCATGTATATCCAAAATTATGGCATATTCTATACTTTCTATACTTTCGAACTGCTTTTTTTAAATGATACTTTTTTCAGTCTTAGACGATTGGACTCTCTAAAGTCTATACATGTCTATACTTTCTATACTGTCTATCCTTTGATTTTGGTGAATTCCCTATGTCTATACTTTCGATACTTTCGATACTGTGACTTTCGATACTTTCTATACATTGTAAAACAATATGTGGCGTCATAAGTTTCTTGGTCACTTTCGATTTTGGTGAATTGCCTCAATCTGATTTGTCGAAGACAGTTATGGGGAAAAGCAGATCGAAAGTATAGAAAGTATAGAAACTATAGACATCTGATTTGTCAAAGACAGTTATGGGGAAAAGCAGATCGAAAGTATAGAAAGTATAGAAACTATAGACATCTGATTTGTCGAAGACAGTTATGGGGAAAAGCAGATCGAAAGTATAGAAAGTATAGAAACTATAGACATTTGATTTGTCGAAGACAGTTATGGGGAAAAGCAGATCGAAAGTATAGAAAGTATAGAAACTATAGACATCTGATTTGTCTAAGACAGTTATAGGAAAAAGCAGATCGAAAGTATAGAAAGTATAGAAACTATAGACATATGCTTTGTCAAAGGCAGTTAGTATGAAAGGGCATTTCGAAAGTATAGAAACTATAGACATCTGATTTGTCGAAGACAGTTATGGGGAAAAGCAGATCGAAAGTATAGAAAGTATAGAAACTATAGACATCTGATTTTTCGAAGACAGTTATGGGGAAAAGCAGATCGAAAGTATAGAAAGTATAGAAACTATAGACATTTGATTTGTCGAAGACAGTTATGGGGAAAAGCAGATCGAAAGTATAGAAAGTATAGAAACTATAGACATCTGATTTGTCTAAGACAGTTATAGGAAAAAGCAGATCGAAAGTATAGAAAGTATAGAAACTATAGACATATGCTTTGTCAAAGGCAGTTAGTATGAAAGGGCATTTCGAAAGTATAGAAACTATAGACATCTGATTTGTCAAAGGCAGTTGGTATGAAAAAGCAGTTCGAAAGTATAGAAAGTATAGAAACTTCGAAGGCAGATAGTATGAAAAAGGAGATCGAAAGTATAGAAAGTATAGACAATGTATAGAAAGTATAGACATTGCCATAATTCTGGATATACCTCACTGATCCTACTACAAAAGAATCTGGCCGGGATCTATGATTCCTTGAAACCGTATAAAATCGACTGCGACATCTATATATCAATATATCATTTAAAAATAACAATTGGAGAGATAGTGACACCGTCACGTGCTGCCACCTTTAAATAAGAATTGCCAGATGACGCTGAATAAATCAATAAATTTGATTGGGCGATTTAGGTAAGTAAATAATTATCTAATAAAAATACGTTTAATAAATTAAATATATATTTTTTGACATTACTAACATTTATTCAAATCAGATTTTGTCATAGAGAGTAGATAGAGAAACATAGAATTTGACAGTTTATTCACTTCATCTGCTCCAGGAAGTCACTGATTCAGAAATATTTATATTTCTCCCATTACTCCAGTTATTAGTCAACCAGTGGACATTTCGCTTGTAAACAGCATGTGGATAATTGCCTGAAATAGGGTTCTACACACTGATAATTTGGTAAGTGTGAAAAGCTCATTTTAGTCCATAAGTTATAGACTTACTTCTGATTTATAATTTCCTTGACAACTTTCACTTTGGCCTTCAAAGAGCTATTTCTCTTCAAGGAAAGACTCTGGAATTCAACTTCAGGGTCAGTTAGAGTTACTTGAGTCTTTAGTCAATTTATCTAGTGCCAAGACAATAGTTCTGAGAATGTTCAATCTTATCCTGTGCCAGGACTACTACTTTTTTCATGGCCTGACTTCGTCGCTAACATGCTAAATATAAGAGTTAGCTGACGTATGGGAGTCTGACTTACCTTCTAAAGGTTAGAAACCGAATCTTAATGAAACCATATCACCTTTGTTCCGTCAACCATGGAGCATTTGCCACAACATCCAAGAGGTAAATCATGGACCGAGAAAATGAATGATTTCCTTGTAAGTTCCGGAAGTTTCAATACGAAAAATTACCGA